GGTGGAGTCTGCTGGTCTTTCTCAGCTTGATTAAACACATATAAATGTTTAAAATGAATATTCTCGTGATGCTGCTGGGTTTGTTTCGAACTCTGCTAGAAGACTTTTACAAAAAACTTTGTAGACTAAGTTTAAGCGAGGCAGTTCACTCGTAAAGGTTCTTAGGATAAGGTAAAAGTGGCTCATTTCATTTCAATGAGATGTAGTTTATTCAAAACATACTGTACATGTTTTCAGTAAAAACCTTTTACAATTATTTTATTTTTTTACGTCAAATTATTCACAGTTAGGCTAGGAACCCATATAAATCTTAAATCAGTCAACGAACTAGTTCCCTAAAAAAGGAAACATAAAAGTTCCATATAAAAAACAAATGGGTTTTTATAAACAAGAACCCACTGTAAATTGCAGCAACTAAATGTATATGGTCATGTATTGATAACTGGCTTTTAACAACTATTTTATAATACTTATTAAGTATTCTTAATTAAGTATAAGTATATTATTAATAAAGAATGGGTTAGGTCACCCTCATGAATGCCGTCTAATATAGGCTACCTCAGTCAGTATCTGAGTGGGTGTATGTGAAGCTTGCACTGTTTACATCTTTAAACTGTGCTTCTGCAATGCCGTAATGTAAAATCCCACACAGGGAAAATAATATTACACCAGAGTTTTGTTAAAGTGCTGCGATGGAATGTCAATGTGAGAATGGCTTCTAAGAACTGTTGTAGTTTCTCTCATCATCCTACTTAAGTCGTATAACGATGGCTATCTTAAGTGTAAAAACGGGTGTACTACAACCTTAAATTTGTAAATAAGTACAAATGTGCAAATGTCTAACTTTTTATTGTATGCAGTTAGACAATGGGCCTAATTCACCAATATCTTTTTAGAATTTGAGTAAAATTTCCCTTAAGTTGTTCTAGCCATTTTCACATATGCACTCCTGAAAATACCTAGATAATTTCAGGAGGACTCCTCCGGATATTCTCCTGACCTGGCTGTTTACATATGCACCTCACCGCAGGAGACTGTGCCTGGTAGATGGGCAGGGGGTCTCCTGAGATAAAACATGATGTAAAAAAAACTACGCGGAAGTGACAGACAATGCGATAGAGTCCGTTATACGACGCTATAATGAGAATATTTGCCTTTATATCAATACTACGTATAGTTTGACGGAATCACAATATCGACCAAAGAGCAGAGAAGAACATACTGGAGAAGAGGAAACATAATGTATCTCTTTAATTCAGGTTAGCAGATCATAGCTGTCGATTGCATGCAGTCTATGCACTGACTCCAATCACAGGGTAGAAAAGTCAGCACCCTCTCTTACTGGTTTGAAGTGAATTCTCCTGAGAATATCCTGCTGCGTTCTCACATCAGCTCACTCAGGCTTGCTGTGGAAAAAAATATTAGGTGGCTGTCAGGAGAAACTCCTGGTGAAGTGAGAGTGAAAAATCGGGCTGTTTGCGTTTACACATACAGCTCCTCCGGCAAATATCAGGAGTTTTTCAGGAGTTATCTACAAGTCTGAAAGCCCTTTCTTAAGAAGATTTCTAAGAAGACTCTCCATCAGATTCCCCAACGTGTTCTTAAATGACTGAATTGTTCACATCTGTGTTCTTGCTTCCCTGCATCTCAGTTCTCTTGAGTGCAGTATCCTTGCTTCTCTCTCCTATGTCGAACCAGAAGTAGTTCTAGGCCCGCCGTGTTAAGGAGCGTAACAAAGCTCTTATAACTGGCTCAAAAAGTGCTCATGATGGATTAAGCCGGGTCTTTGTAATATAGCATTAAGTAAGGTATTTTACCTGCTCTTTTGTAATATTAAAAAACAAAGAGTAAGATCTTTTACCTGCTTTTTGTAAAATGTCTCGTGATAACACTTGTTATGAGCTGACGCTATACAAATAAAAATTGATTGATGACTGAGAGGAGGAGTGAGGATCGAGGAGAGAGGAGGGAGATCTGAGAAGCGGTGAGCGAGGATATGCAGGCTCTACAGAAGTATTTTTACTGACAGACACGCCCTATTATTGACTCTCACTCATTGATTGGACTCTGCTGCGGATTGGACTTTAATGAAACTTATCAACACCAGCAGAGTTTGATAACGGAGAAAAGACGGACATTAAAAAGACGTTAAATGGACAGAACTCTGACATTTGAACAGATTATACATACTGTATATATTCCTTTTTTCAATTCAATAAACTTTAATGGCATGAATCTGTAAATATATTGCCAAAGCATATAATAACAAATATAGCCATATCAGTCATTAATTGGACGCTGCAGCGGACCAGACTTAAATTAAACTAAATTAATCAACTGAGTTTAATAAAGGGAGAAAAGACGGACATTAGAAAGACGTGGCGTGGATGCAATTTAAGAGACATGAGAAGCAGCCCTTGGATTTGTGAATTGAGAGTGCGTACCTGTTGTTACCATTTAGCATAGGTAACAGCCCATTAATGCCCATAAAAGGGCACGAGTGCAGGGCCCTGCAGACACACAAATGGATAGTAAAGGGCACTTGCACTGAACTATCCCACCAGGATCATGATCATTTAGCCTTAGCCCTGCAGACACACATAACTACATACTGGTAGCAAGCAGTTGTGGAGATGCCTAACAGAGCGCTGAAGATTGTGTCAGAGGAGCACCGGACTCCTGACGCAAAATAAACTTTCCCAGATCTGAAGTGGAGGTACTAATGCACGTGGTCAGCAGCAAACAATGTCTTTTATTCAGCTGTGTGAGTAATGGTTACACCGGAACATACATAAAAAAAGACGCACGGGACGCAACAAACATGATAATCAATGTATGTGAATTGAGGTGTTGTGTATGTTATTTATTATAAGACCACTCAGATTTTTATGATCGTAAAAATATTTATTTAAAATGTGTTAACTTTGAAGCAACATATTGTGATGTAACCCCTATAATATTATACAACCATAGATTTAAATTAAATGCAATATCCATTCATTTTGCCTGAGCAGGTCAGCACTCAAAAGTGCAGAGTGTCCTTGATGTCTGTTCTCTTACCTAAGAACATATCCTACATAAAAAGTTTATAAGTAGGATTTAAGAAATAATTTGCTCTTAAGAACAATTTGTGAATGAAGCCCATTGTGTTCTCCAAACTTACCTATGATTAGCAGTGAGTCATTGAATAGACATTGGTACAGTTATATTGACCACTCAGCTTGTGCTGGCATTAGTACATTAGTATAGTGTAGTTTACTGTATAAGGGAGGCGCTAAAAAAATTTACACTATCGACTAACGTTACCTGTATCTTACTGTAAATTTGTGTATTTCAACATACAATGTTAGGTCACTCAATCAATCAATCAATCAATCACTCACTCACTCAATCAATCAATCATTATTTGTATAGCGTCAATTCATAAGTGTTATCTCAAGATGCTTTACAAAATGGCATATGGGATAATATGCAGGCAGGATTTCTACTCCTTGTATTCCTGTTCCCACACTTCCTTGCCCCTAAGGTAGGGTCGGAGCAGGTCGTGCATGAATGAGGACAGTGATGGCTGTGGGGACAACACAGTCCAATGGTGGTGGCTGGGCGTCGGTTGGGACGGCACAGGTCCGATGTTAGTGGCTGGGCGTCAGGCGGTGGTTGAGGGATGATTTGGTCCGATGGTGGGTGGCTGGGCATCGGGCGGTATCGTCATTTCTAAAAAATAATTTATTTGTAATAGCCTAATTTTTAGTGGTGTAAGGCTTAAATAATGTATTGGTGAATATAGCTGTAGTCTCATGGAAAAGACAGTATTGAGTATTTCCTGATATTAACCCCTGGTAACAAGTTGTTTTGAAAAGCCTATATTAGAATGTAAACTGGATGCTATGAATACATTCATTTACTGAAGACATGACTGGAATGGTGGCATGTGCGAACTATTGGAAATGCATTTTCCCAAAAACTTTTGATCAATCTAGAAATACATTTTAAAAGGCCAGGTAGTAAACATATTTATTACTTTGTAAAAAACAAGGATTTTTTTCCATCGCAAAATTACTGCGCAGAAGTGATGTCGCGATGCTACATGCACTTTCAGTGCTTGTTTTCACCCAAAACATGGCTTTGGATCGAGCCACTGGAGAAGATCATAACTGTAAAAATCACAAAGTAAACACTTACACACATTTACTTATTATTTACTTGTATTTCCATAACATACAGGCCTATTTTAAAAAAAATGTGTGCATCAGAAAAACATTTTTAAAACGTATTTATTAATGTGCTTTTTCAAACAAATATTTTTGGCAACAGTTATAAAGCCCCCCCAAAAAATATGCATCCTTATTTGGGCATTTATTCTTTATTAAACTTATCTCAACATTCCACATATATCATACATATATGTTTGTACCCAACGTATTAACAAATCAGAATCTGAAATACTTTATTAATCTTGGGGCAAAAGTGGGCTGTTACAATGGCTCCTACACATATAGGCATGCAGATATAAGAAAATACCAAAATTTCAATTATGTACAATAAAAAATACTGGGAATACAGTAATAAATAAAGCAATATGTATGAATAGGAAATATAGAATGATGTACAAAATGTGTTTATATAAAGATATGTTTATTCAAACTATGAATATGTTTCCAACCTTTTTTGTTAAGAGCCCCCCCCTACATGAATCTACAAAACGCTGAGCCCCCACTGGACCCCCCAAAAAGGTGATCCATTGCTGTCAAATATTATAATACATTTTAGTTGCCTTTAACTGATGTCTCATTTCTGGTTTAGTTTAAAAAAAATGTATTTTCAGATCCCAACTCAATCAGCCTACACACACGTTCTTACTAAAATAACTTTGTATAAACTTTCTAGTAAGTCTTTCAGCATGTTAAGTTAAAAGATTTTCTTACAGTACAAGTAGGGTATGGGGAAAAATGGTAAGCACAAGGAAAACAAGGTAATAAAATAAGGAAGACCACCACACATAAAAATGTTAACATTTATTGCCGTTTCTGAATACTGCACTGAAAGGCGAAGCATTCGGAGAATACACAGAAATTATACAATCATATATAGTTTCACAAAGGCAGTGAACACATACTGTATTACAATCTACAAAAATCTACTTTACAGAAATTTATCATTCTAAATATCAAAAAGTACAGCTGCAGAAACAGGTGTAAAATTGGAACCAGAAACTGCTCTGGATATCGGTCAATGAGACAACCTGGTGACATCACAATACAAATAAAGCAGAAGTCATCTTTGTACTTGCAAGTTGAAACCTTAACTGGCACAAAAAACAAAAACTTACTAAAAAAAATAACCAATTGAACTGAAATGATCACATATAGCAGATAATTTAATGCATCCAAAATATATCAATGTTTATAAATTGTTCAGGGTGATAAAAAAGTGTTATCCATATTTTTGCAATGATAAATTACTAAGGATAATGTGGAAAACGTATGTAATCCAAAGCCGGTTCAAACTTTTAAATAACAACTTAGTTGAGGGATGTTATCAGGTCACTGCTTGACAAAAGCAAATTTAAAATGTTCCTAAGACCGCTGATATCTTTTACATTTCATATACAATGAGTGGCTGGTATGGCTTTGTTCTGACCCTGCAAGTATGGTACACTAGGCTTTATGATACAAAACATAGACAACCTTGTCCCATTGTCTAAAGTGAGGAGGAGTTACTGGTATTAGAAAAGAGCAAGTCTACCCTGGCATCTGAACAATTTCATTGAACAAAAATGAAGAACTTTTCTGGTCAGGAACTCAGGGCAGCTAAACAAACCCCTTTTGGGACCAACTAAAAACAGAGAATAAGAATATTAATAAAATACTCAATAAAAAAAAAAAAAAAAGATCCTTGAAACAAAAATGTACTTGTATGTCCACATCATTGCCTGGTAGCTGTTTTGAGAGTGTCCAAAAAAGCAAGAGTGGTTTGTCTTGTGTTCAAGGAGAACTTATCCTCTTTCCCCAGTGACAGGTTAGCTGGATACAAGAACAAGCTGTTTCATGGTCACACATGGCTGGAAGGAGGCCTTCATTTTAGTCCTGCTCCATGGGCTCCTCACTGGTCCCAGTGTTAGAGCTGGCACTTTCCATTGGGCTACTGGAAGGTTCAGTTGTAGTGCTAGACGGAGAGTGGGCTACATCTTCTCTGGCTGCTTCTGCACTCTTCTCTATGATAAAGCTACTACTGCTGACTGGGTCACTGTTGCTTTCATTATCCCTGCAAATGACAGAGCTCTCAAGAACATCTGCAGGCGCCTGCTGTTCTGTCTGATCCATGTCACTGCTGTCCTCCTGGGCTCCACATGGCACCTCCCTTTCAGCCTGCTCAGCATCCTGACCTGAGCCTTCAGACACCTCAGTCTGTGTGCTGCTTGATGGTTCTGTAGTTAAAAAAAAAAAAAAGATCGTGACAACAAATATTTTTTCGCCCCCAAAGTATGTTTTCTATTTTAGCTCTGACCAAAACGTTCTTGTCAGATTTCCACTGACAAATAGCAGTTTGGCTTGCTTTCTAGTGAGAAGTAATATAATATAAACTCCTCAAAAAAAAGTTTGGAAACGTTATTTCGGTCACTTATTTCGCCCCTTTAATAATACTAATTGGTGTTGTATTTTATATCGTTGGAAGCCTGATTAGTCACCTTTACAACGAGGTATAACTTTTAGGGATTGTGCATTCATGGAATGTGCAATGCAGCTAAACGTGTGAGTAGCACTCTAAAAAAAAAGGTGCCAAAATCCCCTGCAATGTTCTTCTGCTGGTATTCACTCCTGTTTCGAGCTTCAAGTGCTGCCAGGTGTGTGCCAGTTATGGGTGTATGACTGGCACCTGATTTACAGAACAGGGATCATCTTGGGCACGCTGTTCATACCAGGAGTGACCAACCTAATCAGGCTTTCTAACGATATAAAATACAACACCAATTAGTATTATTAAAGGGGCGAAATAATTGACCAAAATAATGTTTCCACCTTTTTTTTGAGGAGTTTATAAATATTAGTGTCAAACTATAAATGGGAAATTCAGGATTAATCACATTTTTAGTTTTATACTTGAAATTATTTAATTATGAATTCAACATAGTTTTTGTCTTACATTTTATTTCTCTTAAGGTTAAGTACTTTACTTGCTGTTTGGATAAATTATACATGAATATACATGCGCCTTAAACACTGTAAAATCTGGTGTATAAGACGCACTTTTAAATACCCATTTTTTTGTCTTATACACCGATGCGACCAATATACCAGTATAAAATATTGAAACACGTACAGTACAGACGGGCTGCGCAACTTTTTGACATCTTTTCTCCCTCACAAGGTCATAATCATGCATTTACAGAAAACAGTGGTATATTGTTCCGTAAATAAACCTTGCAGAGTGTTCTTTTGATTGAAAGACTCCTATATGAAAGTTAAAGAGTGACTAGCGGAGTCGGGCAGCGCGACTCGTAAGCTAGGAGTCCGTGCATCACAACTTTACTGCACGTCGTAGACATCGCTGAACACAATCTTCTTCACGCAGACAGACAGTTTAAACTTTTTTTTCTCTCTAAGAGACCTTCAAAACAGGTTGCCTCTTCTATACCGGTGCAATTTATATTCTGGATTTAAACACGCACATACACATAATTTTATATATATATACTGTGTATATGTTCTCTGGCGCCTGAGGCTCAGTGGCATAGTTAGGCGTCACTCAACCAGAAGGTGTAGGGGTTCGATCACTAGCTCTTGCAATCACATATGGGCAAGACACTGAATCCCACATTGCTCTTCATATCTTATCTTTAATATAGGACTCTTCAATCAAAAGAGCACCCCACAATGTTTATTTACGGAACAATATACCACTGTTTTCTGTAAATGCATGATTATGACCTCGTGAGGGAGAAAATATGTGAAAAAAGTTGCGCAGCCCGCCTGGTCTGCGTCGCCATCTTTCCCAGCACAGCGTGCACTCAGCTTTCAATACACAATGAATGGGGATGGGTTTTTAAATCGCATCAGGTCGCAGTAGTGGCTGAGGCACCCGCGGTAATGACGGCGCATGTTTCAGTATTTTATACTGGTATATTGGACGCACCGGTGTATAAGATGCAGCCGACTTTTAAGACGAAAAAATAGGTATTAAAAGTGCGTCTTATACACCGGATTTTACGGTAAATAGCTAGTACCTGAGTACTCGTTCATAAGGTAATGTAGGTACTTGAGTATTTAGATTACTGTAAATTGCCATCCCTAGTACTGAGATGGGCAGTACGGCACTTTACACAGCAGCCTCTGCCATCTATGTGTGAATGTGACATAGTTTACAAGCGCTTTAAATGGTCAGAAGACTGGAAAACTGGCTGAGAAGTTTTGGCAAGGCAGGTTCAAGGTCTTGGCCAGCATGGAGCCGAAAGTAAAGTTGCGAATTCTGCAGCAAGCAATTGGTATGCTCTGGAATATATGGTCATAAATATGTCCATGTCTAATGTTTATTTAATGGTCAATCGAGAATCCAAAATTGGAAATTAAAAAACAACTTGCTATTTCGTTATTTGTTTTTTAATCTGATACTAAAAATCTAAATTTTAACAATGACAAAAATACCCAACTTTAAATCCTCTGTGGTGCTTCATTAGTTATGTGAATTGATCTCAAAGCTTTGACTCCTAAATATTTTACAGCTTTTTTTTTTTTTTTTTTTTTTTAAATGGATAGACTGACCGTGTATAGTCTTTTTAAATGCAGAAAAATGTAAACTGCTTAATTGAATTTAGGTCCTAGGTGTTTGAATCTTCATCAGCTCATGTTATGATTAGGCTTCAGGGTCCAAAATTGGAAAATTGTCCCTACTATCTATTCTGATTCAAAGCTCAGTTCAGTTCACTTTGGGTTACAATAGTTCTGTTGGCTCAATTTAAAAAAAGGCTACACCTTCAGTGTGAGAAAAGCTGCTCAAAAACCTTTCAGACAAAACTTTACCTTTAAAGCTAAAGTTTACAGCCCGAATGTAGGAAGCACAGAGACAACCAACTCTACCATCTACTCTAAATCTAATCCATACAACCTTAAATCAAAAAGGACCCTTCAGCCAGATACATAAAAAATTCCCACAATACTTTCAATAGAATGGGTCAGACTTAAGTAACTTTACACAAACTTACCCTGGTCTTCAGTTGCAGCAGCACTGCTCGAGGCTTTATCGTTGATGTATCTAATCTTTTCTTCTTCCTTGTGTTCTTGGACCATGGATTCTGCCTCTTTTGAAAGAGAGTCATCATGCAAAGGCCTCAGTGTATCCACCTTCTGCTCTTCCTCTTCCTCGTCATCATCCTCATCATCCTCTTCGCTAAATTTAAGTCTTTTCACCTTCTGCTGATCTGCTTCCATGTCATCTTCTGTGACTGGGTGCTTGTTTTTGACCGAGTTCCCCAGAGAACCTCCAGCTTCAAACATTTCACTGACAAGCAAAAAAAAAGAGTCAGGACACAAATTATCATATTGTTTCATGTTTTTTTGTGGGAAATCTATTTTTCTGGCGTTTAAAAGCTTCTTACATACCTCAAGTTTTTATCACCTCCATGATCTGTGTTGAGATCTTTGTTGTCTGTGCTGTCTGGCAAGCCATTAGCTGCTATAGAGTGGGCAAGAGACAACTTTGGTCGATTCTGTGGCCGGGGAGTTCCAGGACCGTTCACTTTTCTAAATAGAAATGATAAGAGAGTTCATGAAAAGAGAAGCTATAATTAGTAATGTTATTTATTTTGTATGCATAGACTTCAACTGTCCACAACTCAACCTCTCTGTGAAAGCAGATGTGTTCCCTGGAAGCATCACTCCATTCATTCTATTCACCGCACTGCATCCATTTTTTCTAAACCAGTTAAAAAAAAACAATTATCTGCCTGGTGACAAATGTAACAGACCAAACTTCAAGTAAAAATATGATTTAGTTATATTTAATGTTGCATTTCAACATGACACTTACTCTAAGGTTGGGTGAATACAGCTTACCACCATTACATTCTAGAGGGGAGCAAGAATTACCAAATTAGTTACAACAGGAGTCACAGCAGGTTGTTGACAACTTTAAATAAAACATATCTACAAAATAATGTCGAGCTGCTTGGGACTTACCTTCTCAACCCCCCGGAGAAACTTGTCTGTTCCTGTGTAGTTCCTCTTCGGTTCTGTGAGTAACTCACACAAGCGTTGGATTGTGAATGGAATTCTAAAACAAACGACAAATGTGAGAATAAAAGAAAAATTAGACATTTATAAACACTTTTAATAAAACTTACAATTCTGAGCCATAAAAATTCTGATGAAGGCATTTTTGCAGTTTTGGGAAACTTTGTGACCAATAAAAAACTGTTTTCATGATTCCAGGAAGCAGTTTCTGTGTGTCTTGGGATTTAAAATGATGAGATGCAATTTGATTTGAAGTAATTATTGCGATTTTTCTATTGCGAGTTATACCTCATTATGGGAATTAAGCAAATCAAATCATTTAGAATACATAATTTAAGTTGTTGCAAAGAAAATGTCAAGTCTCTTATTCAGAATGAAATATATCAGGACACCTGCTGATTTACAATATTTGTGTGTGTTCATTTGCATGTGAGGGAGGGGCTGCTTCACATTATCAAATTGCCACACATTTTATCTGCATGTAACAGAGTACCCCTAGAGTGTTGAAATTTACAGTTTAGACAATTTAAGATCTTTTTAATACCACTCAGAATGACATATAAGGCCAACTTCAAGGCAGTACTGAGTCGATTCTAGCTCTAGAAATAATTTACCAATTGAACTTGAATTTGATAAAACATTTTATTAATACCTGATCGAGTGTCTGTACTCTAATAACATAAAATGAAAAAGATTCGTATTTGTTGCATTAACCCCTTTCGATGGCCTCACAAAGGGCCATCTGGTCACAGTAGGTAAAAATAAATAAGACATTTAACACAATAGCTTTGTCTGTACTCAAAACTAAATGACAAAGCTCTGCATTGTCTATTCTCAACAGAGTACGCTGTAGTCAGAGCTGGACAGAATACAAAAACCTGGACAGGAAGTCAGAAAACGCACAGAGCGTCTGGTCAATTTCAAAATAAAACAATATACAGACTCGCAATCTTATATTTTTTAGCAATTTATCAACATAAAGTCAAAACAGGCACCAAACGAACAGCTCATGGCTGCACTCAGCTGCGCTCATGTTCCAGAAACGGATCAAGTGGGGCAGGGCTCGTGTCTCCTGACGGAGCAAAACAGTGATGCTGACAGACTGCACACAAAGTATGTGGGGAAACTCTGGGGTCACATGGTAACCGAATATACTTTTTAAGGCCTTAATTTAAAAAAATTAGATTAAATGTTTTTGAAGACTTTTAAGACTCCCCGGATACACTGATTGAAAATAGCTGTCAATTTAATGAATGATTAATGCAAAAACTGTTTCAAATAGGAATAAAATAGGCTGCACACAATATGGACTTGTGTTTGTGATGAGTGGCGTTAAATAGTGCTGAATTTTGACTGTTAACTTTCCTTTAGACTGGTTGACTACAGTAGTAGAGGTGGGGATACAGCACAGTATCTTTGGCAATATTATATCATCTAACGGCTGCCAAGTATCAATATTTGTATTATATTAATAGCAAATATGATTTTGATCACACCGAGACGCGCCGCTCATAAAAAGCCTCAAAGCGCGTCGTGCAAAACAGCGTTGGAGCGCCTGGAGCCAAGCTGCTTGCCCAACGGGGCGATTAAATGTTATTTGGTAACAGAAAAGTGGATTCAAGCAGACGCCGAGCTCTTGCCATTGCTGTCCTGTTGGATGAGGAGGGGGGGGAAACATAAAATAAGTAGAGATTTTGGGTTCATACTGAACAAAAGGAAACAGTATGGTTAATACCACCATTTCTTTAGCAAGTTGTGTTGTGTAGATGACGAGCGTGTACACACTAGTCTTCTTTTTATTCGTGGGACAGGAAGAGGTAAATTAGTAAGGCCCGCCTCTTGGTTGATTTGATTGGCTGCTTGTGCCAACTGTGACATTGATGAGCGGTGTGACTCTGTGCCTGCCTTGCGCTGAAAAGTTGAGAAATATTTTAACTTTAAAGCGCGTATAAAACTCGCTAGAAAAACGCTACACGCGGCACAGGAAGAGAGCGCGCGTCAGCCGCGATATACCATATGAAAATAATGGTTTTGCTGGCGATGCGCTCGGTGTGATCACAGCCTGCGTTGTAGTGCTGACGGACTGCGGAGAGCACAGAGTACGTGTGAATTGACAGTAACTCCAAGCTGAAATTCAGGCCCTGCTACAACGTAACAATTAATGAGGTGATGAACTTTCAAATTGTATTCATGTATCATGTTAAGTAGAAGAATTGCCTACTGTGACCTTGTTACATTTGCTTATAACATTTCTCTGCTGCTACTCATATCACTTTCATACAGAAACATATTAATTTAGCTTGGCACCTACCCATTGTATCCCTTCACGATCTTCAGGATTCTCTCCTTCATATCTTCATATGGAATGGACTCAACATTGGAATTTGCAGCAGCTCTTTGTTCAGGTGCTGAGGCTCTAAAGTCATCCATCACATTCTCCAGTTTAAACAGGAAGTAGCTTTTGAATTGAGACCACTGAACCCTAGAAGTAAATTGTAAACAAAATAAGTTTCAACTTGTAGGTATAAAGATTCAGAATACAGATAAAACTGATTAAATTGGACATAAACATGCTAAATAGTCTATGCTGACATTTTATCAAAAAAGAAAACATACTGCAATATGGACTGCAAACAAATGTATAATAATGTAAATGCTGTATGAAAGTGCCTCACGAGCAGCAAAATATTTTAAACAAAACTGGATTTTTTCTAAAACACAAGATTAGTCAAGACTTTTGGGACAGGTGCATTTTCAAGAAACAATCATTTGAATCATCCAAATAAAAAGAAAGATAGATATGGTGTTATTTGAACTCTGTTTCATTTTAAACTAGGTTGGCTTCTCTTTTTATCTCAACTTGAGTGGTAGGACACAGACAGAGGTGTTTTTGAGCAATAAAACGAGTTAATCTGAGCTGTAAAACAGCATCACTATAATTCAAAACAAATATTATTCAGAAATCACATTTATGTCATATTATGTATAAATTCACAAGATTTCATATGGCAAAATTTGAATAATTTAAAAAGACTTATGGGAAATTAAAGTGAGAAAGTGTGTGTGTGTGTGTGTGTGTGTGTGTGTGTGTGTGTGTGTGTGTGTGGTGGGCCTGCTGCCTTCACTTACATGGTCTCTCCAGTCTTGGCAATATGACATAAGAACTGCTCCAGGAGAGGAGACTCCTCCTTTGCTTTCTTGTCAAAATCTAAAAGACACAACGTACACCATGTGGAATAATAATAATAATAATAATAATAAGTAAACATTTTCCAAAGTAGGTCAGGATAAAACACATCTGTGAATGAATCTGTAACTGGTTTAGCGATAGCTGCTACCTGCACTGCTCACCGACTTTGAACAGCATTATGAAGCTTTGTTTTCTGATTGATTCCATGAAAACCATCACACAGTCTAGTGAAGGTTAACTTCTGACACGATGTTCTGAACTAGTGGACGCTTTCTTCACGTTTGGTCGCTTTTCAAAAAAGGTGTAAATAACTTAAGTTCAGCGCACTAGTTAGCACGGTTAGCACGGCAGCCGGTTACACTTGCACTGCTCAAAATGACCCGATAAGACTCTGTCACACACCGAGGACAGAACAGCTGAAGGGAGGCACACTCTTAATGACATTTCTGCCTGTTTATTACATGGCACAGCCGGCTCGCCATTCTCTTAGACCGCTTTTTACCGCTAGCCAGAGTCGTAGCTAGTTAGTAGCGGCTAGCAAGCGACATTAGCATGTGAGCAACACTCGTTTTTAATTTAAAAAATAAAACTGTGGAAACATTACACCAAACAGCAGCCTGGATCAGAACAACATGTTCAGAAACTAAAATGACCTCTGAGTGCGTCTTGAAGCGAATCAATTTCCATCCCGTCGTCGCCCTCTTGTAGAGTTATTGGACGTGAAGCTGCTGCTGCTGATCTACGATGTCATCGGCAGAGAGGAGGAAGCATTTTAATATGGCGCCGTGAGGTCACTGTGGAGCAGCATCCAGCTGCAGCACCGGACCAAGAACCCCTGTCGTGCCGGAAGTGACGTTTTTTTCCGTTTTTTTTTTTTTTTTTTAAATATGATTTGTGCACATTGTTATACAGCAGGGGTGTCCAAAGTGCGGCCCGAGGGCCATTTGCGGCCCTTGAGTTTTTTAGATAACAAATTCTACCTTCTTAAGAGATAATATATTTTTATTATATTATTATACTAGTCCATTTTATATAACATTTCATTATATTACACTATATTGTTCATATTGCACTACATTATATTATATAACTGCACTCTGCATTACTGTGGTACAACACTGTCTCTCTTCTCTGCTGTTTACATTACTCGCTGCTATTTTATCAAACCAAGTCACTTTAATCACTTGTCACTTTAACTTGTCATTCTCTGCAAATACTGTCTCAATTCTCAATTCCCCCCTGTTAACTTTATCATTCATTTTGTACTGTATATATCCCCCTGTTTTTGTTTTTATTTTTATTTATCTTATCTATTTTGTTTAATGTGTATTTTTTAGCTTTCTTGTCTGTGCTGCTGTAATGCCCGAATTTCCCCCCTGGTGATCAATAAAGTACTATCCTATCCTATCCTATAATAAGTGCAATAAGAAAACATATTTATATTTTCATTTCATTGTACAGTGTTCCCCTTGTTATTTTTATTTTTTTGTTTTATATCTTTGCTTTAATACAGTGTATAACTTCTGTATAGTTTATTTTAATATACTTAGCTGTTAATACAACTTATCTATTTTTTACTTTTTGTACTCTTTCTTTTTTTCTTACAATGCTAGTCTATTTTATATATAATTTGAACTTTTTTGTAGAAGCTGACTCAGAGAAACGCACAAGAATTCCAATGTACCTGTACTGTCCTGTACCTGTGCAAATGGCAATAAACATCTATTTATCTATCTATCTATTCTTATTGGAAATACAGTTTTCAAAAATATTTCTGTGATTTTCAAAACCAGTTTCAGAAGAGTATATTGAAGTGTCTGACGTAACTAGGACAGAGATAATATACCGCTCTTTTAAGTTTATAACGTATACATCTGGAGAGAATTTGTATCTGAAGGAGATTTAGGAGTCCCCTTAAGTTGAACGTTTACTTTAAGGTGTTGTGTAATAGAATTGCCAAATATGGATGTGTTACATGATGCTTTTTATGACCCATGACGAAAAGCAGATGTTTTGGGTGCATATAGGCGATTGGCTCTGTATGTTCAGGAGAGATCATTATTTGGCTTCATGATCCTCCTGGTCAGACGTGACCAGTGACTCTGTTTCTTGCTTAATTAAAAATTATACTCTTTGAAAGCAAGTCAGTCTCAACGGCGAATTTCTTCATCATCAAACATATCAACAAAAAGGAAATCCACATCAATTTATAAGAAATTCATAAGAAATTCTGTTTAAAAAATCACAAATTAACATAAAAATAATTGCCCCACTTTGAGGAGTGATTAGGTGCAAATGTGACTGCACATTAGTAATAATATTCAGCCAAGAACCTTTAGTGAGTACCTCTCACTTATTTCACATCAGTTGGGATTCAAAGTCATTGTGACAAGTATGCATTTTTGTAACAGTATAACAAGACCCCAAAATGTCATTTTTATGTTTAAAATTCTTTTCAATCTTTACAGGCCTGAGGCCTTGATTAAGATTGGCACATTATCTTATTTTTATTTTTCATGTTAACAAGATCGGAACAATATTCCTAAAATAGAAAATGTTCAGTAACATGTATGTTGTTGTTTTTTGTTTTTTTTAAATAATAATAATAGACTTTATTTGGCATGGACATCACAGATACATTGGACAAACCAAATGCATTGTTTTAGTGTTTTAGCAAGCATGCTAGTTCTCAACACCGGTCCACAGGAGGCTTGAGAAAGGAAAACAATTAAGATAAGGAGAAAAGCGATAAAACAGAGAAAACAATAACGGGAGAATAAATAAATAGAACCGTAGAGCAAAGGCAGCATGATCAAACAATAAACCAGTCAGAAGCTCTTCATGTGAGCACTGTTGTTTTGATTTTAGCCATGGTTTGAGTCCTCTGTTAAAAGCATTACTGTTGCTCTCTAGTGCTCTCTAAATCTACAGCTTTTACTATTTTCCACATTTCTTTGTAAACTATGAAAAAAAACATATGCAAAATTTTTGCAAACAAGCAGACTGTTGTTTAAACCATTTAATGACCTGAGCTAAATGCAGAAAGCTTTTCCAAAAAACATGAACCACGTTACAGACTTGATTCTGAGAAAAAAAAAAAAATAAAGTAGAACGAAGAAATGAAAATATTTGATTTCCTTTTGTTAAAGGGTTTCTTTAGCGAGCCTTTTGATTCTGATCGACAAAGCCTTCCTATTTTTTCAACTATATTTAAAAAAACAAAACCTGTGGCCCGCGAGCGATTCAAACACGACAATTTTGGCCCGCAAGAAAAAAAGTTTGGACACCACTGTTATACGGTATAGAGAACAAACCATATGACGCATCTACACTGGAATATGGATGTGTTGTGTTTCGGTTTTGCTAAGTTTCTTTTGGAAGACTGTTGGGAATTTATAGGTCAGGAGAAGAAATCTAACTTCTTTCAACACATCAGACAACTTGCCATTGCAGACATTGGGCTTGAGCAAGATAAAGTGTCTGGGGCTTTCTGGTCGCCTGTTCCTTTCTACCAGAAATATGTCAACCTCAGGTTTCTACCAGAACCTGAGGTTGACCTATCCCTGCTTGAGGCATAGTAATAATGTTTCTTGGCGTTTAGGTGTGTATGTAAATCAGATGAAGGGTGAATATATGCAGATTTTCACAGGTGGGTCCAATGATCCAGTCTCAGGGTAAAGCTGGGTTCGGTATGTATGTGGTAAATCTTTAGATCTGGCAGAGTGTCTGCATATCTGACCATTTGTCTGTTTTTACTTTTGAACTTTTATGGGCCATATGGTGGGTTGTGGAGGTTCAATCTCCAAAGAATTTAATCTGTTCTGACTCTGCAGCTGCCTTGTTGGCATTGAAAGAGGGGTCATCAGCATCTTGTCCTGATTCGGTTCAGGAGATCCTCTGCTGTTTATTTCAGGTTGAAAATTTGGGGTGTCAGATTAAGTTTTTATGGGTACCAGGCCATTCAGGGATTGAAGGGAATGAAATCTCTGACAAACTTGCAAAGGAGTCTCTCTTAAAACAAGATATTGAGATGGATGTTCCTTTGGGGAAAGTGAATGTTATAGTGTTTGTAAAGAAAAGTTAAAGTGGCAGAGAGAATTGAATGAAGAACGAAAGGGCAGGCATTTTTTCTCTCTGCAACCATCAATAAAAAGAAAGAGGTTATTGCTAAAAGAAATTTGTAGAAAGGACGATGTAACTAGGCTGAGGTTAGGACATTGTGGTCTGGCCAGTTACTTAAAGGGAATCAGTAAACTGTGGTGGTCTGTGTCAGTGTGGAAAGGAGGAAAAAAGTTTGTCATGTTGTGTTTGTTTGTGATAAATACAGGAATGAAAGAAGTCAGTTATATATGGAGTTATCTGACCTGGGACTTGCATCCTTCTCCTTTAAGTCTATATTTTCTATAGATACAAACTTTCAATCTGTTGGGGGCGCAGTTATTAGATTCTTACATGCCACTCACTGGCTTATATCAGAAGATATGAATTAAGTAGGCCTACATAATCATAGACTGTGGAGGGCAGCATTACACTCTACAGTGTACAGCCTGCCGGAAAACTAATAGAAGAAGAAGAAGAACCATATGACAGAAAATATGGCAGAAAATAAGCTCTGTGGCAAACACACGTTTCTGATGTGTATGCGTTTTGTTCAGCAGGATAATATTCACAGATTAACATCATATTTATGATGTTTGAAGCGTTAGTGCAGCCGACAGAAGTAAAAAGCTAACGTTATGCTACAAGCGAACTACAACCACAACACGGTCGGATGATTGTGACGTCACTACCGCTATGCGTCAGACGATCTCCGATAAACTAATTCGCGTGGCTCAATAAATTGTTTATTAACTGCCTTAACTTATTTGCTTAATAAGTTATTTATTTTTTAGTTATTTATTTATTAACTTATTTGCTTAATTTATTCGCCTTAACCTAAAGATTTAATATTAAATATTTACAGTCTATGGATTAAACCTACAGGAGACATCTCCGACTAGTGAGAGAGTTCCCGCCCTCCGTGTCCGGCGTGATGACGTTTAATGTCCCCGACAATCACTGTAGTCACATTTAGCCACTTGTTAGCAACCGCCTTTTTAAAGACGCGTAAAAACTTAAAAATTCACAAGTGGGGGTGTTAGCTAACGTAGTTTATGTGGTCTAACAAAACGCCAACATATCTTCAGCTTGTGTTAACCACAGACTTTATTTCAGGCGTCTAACCACAAACCCATTCAAAATCCCCATTGACTTTTAGACCTTAGACCCCATGGCGCTCAAATGCTAACTTACTTCCGGGTTTTAGGACTCATTCCTCTCATTACTGTGTTATCAATAGGAAGCTTTGAATTGAAAACGGGTGAGTTAGTAGAGAACTTAAATAAGAAGGTAGTTTAATAAAACGTGCTTAAAATAAAATTAAAAAAATAAGAAAGTTTCTCAAAAAAGGAGTTGTGTATCTCTGAATAATCAGTAGGCCTAACTTTTCTTAGTAACTTAGTAAGTATCTCAATAAAATATTATCTCCAATATCTCCAATTGAGAAAAACCCTCAAAAGTGTCTCATGATGAGAAACTCTCAAAATAATGTTAAGGTATGGTTTTATACTTTAACTCGTACAAAAGCTGAATTAATAGGGGGTTTGGACTAAATATATGGCTTGCATGGTAAATAGAATTCACTGGCCGTCTAAAAAGTTTGTGCTCCATTGTTTTTAGTGAGTGAACTCTAGGATTATTCTACTGATTGTAAGCACTTATATTAAGGTATGCAGCGCTCACCTTATCTGGCTTATTAGCTAATA